ACACCCCCAATGTGCTCCTTTTCTGGTCCACTTGTCCTCAGCTTCCAGGGAGTCAGCCCCTGGCTCCCGGGGGCCCCCATGCGCAGTGGGCCACACTCTTGTCATTCGTAGGGTTTTTATCGACTGGTTTTCAGAAGTAGGCCACCAGGCGTTCCTTCCCAGCCAGTCTTCACCTGGAAGCTCTACTGAGGCACCTTCATCATCACACAAACACACAGACTTTCCCTGGAGACCACTGGCTGGCCTGGGATGCACCGGCCTGCAGGTGAACCCAGGCTTTTCTACATGGAAACTGAACTAGCACTGCCCACTGAATCATCATTGCCCTGCTGTCTCACCGAGATAATTTTTAATATTAGTACAGATATTTTATGTGCCCTTTTAAGACTTGATTGTGATTCAATAGTGTCTTTTGAGAGGCTCCTGAGAATGAAGAAGTGCCTTTGGGGTGTATGTGAAGAAGGAAGTTGCGTACAACCTGGAGGCTTCCACGTTCACACTGAGGGCAGGCGGAGAGAACGTGAACTTGAAAGCAGGCTTCCACCTTGACCGACCATTACTAGTGGGCTAATGGAGCGCCCTGCATGTTCCTCTGGATCATATGGTTTCTCAAGTCTTAAATGCACACGACAGTGCCTTTTTTTGTGGAGTTTTCCTAAGAGGAAAGGAATGGACATAACTTTAAATCTGGTCTAAACCACATTCTCATGGAATTCTGCTTCCATTCCTTTCCATTTTTTTCTCAAGAGCCATGGTAACTCAGGTCAGCTAAAGCAAGACGGAGCAAGAGCGTATAGCCTCTGAGAGACCATGTCATGAGACGTGATAGACACAGTCCAGGCTGGCCCTAGCAGTTCTGGAACATGTGGGAGGGCTCAGCCTGGTTGGAAGGGAGGAGAGGGGCAGTGCAGAGGGAAACCAACGCCCTCTCGTCCCATCTGAGCCGTTGATTCCAAAGGTGACTGTTGAAGGTATTGGAATGAGAAGTTGATGTGACATGACCTGTGTATATATGTTTTACAATATTGAAGTCTTGTTGTTGTTGTTATGTGCCGTCAAGTTGTTTGCGACTCATAGCGACCGTATGTACAACAGCCCTAAACCCTGCTCTATCCTGTGCCAATCTCATTGCCTCTGACACACCCATCCCGAGCACCTCAGTCACTGAATCAATCCACCTCATAGAGGGTCTTCCCCTCCTGCGCTGTCCCTCCACTCTACCGAGCATGATGTCCCTCTCTAAAGACCTGTCTCTCCTTACAACATGTCCAAAGTATGTCAGACGAAGCCCCAGAATCCTTGCCTCCAAGGAGCAGCCTGGTTTAATCCTCTCTAGGGTGAATCTGTTTGTTTTCTTGGCAGTCCATGGTACATTCAATACTCTTCTCCAGCACCACAGTTCAAAGGCGTCAGTTCTCCTTCTATCCTCCCCAGTCATTGTCCAACTCTCTGATGCATAACAAGTGATTGCAAAAACCATGGCCTGTATCAGGCGCACCTTAGTCTCCAAAGAGACACTGTTGCTCTTGAGTATTTTGGAGAGGTCCCTAACCGCAGACTTTCCCATCGCAATACATTTTTTTATTTCCTGGCTACTGGTGCCAAGAGTGTTGACCGTGAAGCCGAGCAAACTGAAGCTGTGAACAATCTCAGTCTCTTTTGCCATCCATCCTGATCCTACCGATTGGTCCAGTGGTAAGAATTTTTGTCTTCTTGACATTGAGCCTCAGTCCATATTGAAGGCTGCAGTCCTTGACCCTCTGTAGTAAGTGCATGAGGTCCTCCTCAGTTTCAGCGAGCAAGGTTGTGTCATCTGCATAACACAGATTGTTGATAGATCGTCCACCAATCCTAATGGTACGCCTCTCCTCATAGAGCCCAGCCTCTCGGATAATCTGCTCTGCATACAGGTTGAAAAGGTATGGAGACAGGACACATCCCTGATGTACAACCTTCTCAATTTTGAACCATGCAGTGTTGCCCTGCTCTATTTTGACGACTGCCTCTTGGTCCAAGTATAGGTTTCGCATTAGCACGATTAAATGTTCTAGGATTCCCATTCTTCTCAGAGTCAGCCACAGTTTGTTATGATCCACGCAGTCAAATGCCTTTGCATAATCAGTGAAACACAGATAATGACAAAAACGTGAACTCACCTAAATACTCCAACTTCTGTGCATCCCCCAGGATCTGGGGGCTCTCACTGAAGATAGGTACACAAGGGATGACAAATGGTAATAAAGACTGACAGTGTTCCAGAGACCAGTCTAAATGCTTTATCACCATGTTACATCCTCTCTGTAACCCTAGGAAGCAAATTCTGTCATTGCCCTCATTTTTTACAGATAGGGAAACAGAGTGTAAGTAACTTGACCAAGGTTATGGCAAAACTGAGTTTTAAACTCATTGAGTTGATCTCAGAGTCTAGTAACCATGCCTCTGCAGCATTTTCCAGGGGTTCACGCCTGTGAAAGGAGGACACAAAATGGAATAGGAAAGTAAAGAAATAAAAGGTTGGGAGGTCAAGGAAAAGAAGAGGAAAAAGAAAATCATCCCATCCAGGCACCACAGTAATCATCACAGGTGCCCCTCAGCACATTGGTATAGATGCCTTCCCCTTTCAGAAACGAAGTTCTAAGGGAAAATTTCAGGAATAAAGAAATAAATAATCAGAAACTGCTTAGCCTGCCAGATACATTGTCCAATACATTACTTTGAGAAACTAGCAATTTAAAGAAGTGAAATGGACCATGAAAATAATTAAATGGCTTGGGTTTCTTACTTAGAAGGAAGAACTCTGCAAATTATATGGACCTTCATGACCAGTGCCAGCATCTCTTTGACTTCTCCCTTCTAGGACAGTTTAATGAAAATACTTCCTATTCCCAAATCCTATCCTTCCTACTTGTGGTCCCCACATCCCCAAATTCTATGTTCAAGACCCTGAACTTAGCAGCAGTTTGCTTTTCTAAATGCATGCTTCACCCTTCTCCAGAGTATTGCCCAAGAGGTTGATATGTATGGCCCAACTTCACAGGGTCTCCAAGTTTGTTTTTTAAAAAAAAAAAACCCAAAAACAAACCATGCAAAGGCTTTTGACTGTGTGTATCATAACAATTATTGGATGACATTGAGAAGATTAGGAATCCCAGAACTCTTAGTTGAGCTCATGGGATACCCAGACCCAGAAACTGTTATTTGAACAGAGTTAGGGAACACCACATGGTTTAAAATCAGGAAAGGTGCACATCAGGGGTATATCCTTTCTTCATACCTATTCAATCTGTGTGCAGAACAAATCATTTGAGAAGCTGGACTCTGTGATGGCATCTCTGTGTTGCGTCAGGATTGGAGGAGGATTCTTGAACAACCTGTGTTAATACGGGTGACGTAACCTTGCTTGTGGAAAGTGAGGAGGACTTGAAAGGCTTGCTACAGAGGATTAAAGATTAAAGCCTTCTATATGAGTTACGTTTTAACATCAGAAAACAAAGATCCTCACCACCAGGCCAGTAGACATAACAGAGAGAAATTGTCAATGGTTTAATCTTGCTTGGATCTACAATCAACACAGGTGGTACCAGCAGGCAAGAAATTGAGTGACTTATTGCATTGGAAAAATGTGTTGTCAAGGATCTCTCCAGAGTGCTTGAAAGCAGTGATATCATTGTGAAGATGTAACATGCACCTGATCAAACCATCATCTTTTCAGTTGTTTGCTATGCAACTGAAAGTTGGACAGTGACTAAAGATAACAGTAGAAGAATAAATGCCTTTGAGTTGTGGTGTTGGAGAACAGTGCTGAATAGCCCATGGACCCCCCAGAAGGACAAATAAATATGTCTGGGAAAAGGTGCTGCCAAGGTGCTCCTTGGAGATAAGGAGAGTGGAACTTCATCTGTTGTTAGGAGGGCCAGTTGTTGGAAAAGGACATCATGTTTGGAAAGGTAGCAAGTCAGCAAAGGAGGGGAAGACACTTCCGAGGTGGACTGACAGCAGTGATGGACGGTAGGCTGCAGTGTGTCAGAGATGGTCACGATGGCACAGGATAGATGGCGTGAATAGGGCAGGGTTCAAATTCATTGTTCTTGGGTCACTGTGAGTCATAGTCAACTTGATGGCACTGATTATGTCTAAGGGTTACTGGTTGCATTCAGCCAACAGTTGCCCCAACAGGCAGTCCAAGGGAAGAAAGATAATGCAGTCAGGATACCACTTCCCTGGCCCTTTCCCAGCCACCTGGGCTGACTTCCTCCTTGATCAAAGCTCCTTGCTCCTCATACAGCAGCCTTCTCTCAGCATTCATTCTGGGTTTCAAATCCACCCCTTTCCCATGGTTCTTTGGTTCTAGAATTAATAACAGCACCAGTGTTACTAACAATGGGCTACTTCATCATCATCCTTCATGGGCGCCCTTCCGCTCCCTTTATATAAGCCCTTTGTTTTACTCTAATGTTATCCCCCATCTCTTCCATTGAAGACTTTGACTACTTAGATGTATATTTTTTCTCTTTCTGAGTCCCCCTTTCCTCTCAACTCTCTGAACCTGTTGCTATTCCTTTTGAAAGTACTGTTCTTTTGTCCTGACAACATTTGCATACATGGTTTATGTCTGTCTCTCACTAGAATCTCACTATCTGAAGACAAGGGGCATGTGTATTCATTGGCTAGGACCTAACCGATCTGGTCCCAGCGGAAACACTCAGGCTACGTGGAATGAATGACCCAATGGCCAGGACTCCAGCAAGAATAGTCTTTATTGCATTGTTTCATTTCCCCCCTTACACTTGCTCATCTATTACCCTTAATTTCTTTAACATCAACGCTAAGGGTGTTTCATTTTTTCACTTTAGGGAGGAAAATACACTTTGTTTCTGGCTCACTAAGCTGCGTCTCCAGGCCTGGCCTGTCTGTCCAGCTGGACCTTGCCTCTCCTCTCAGTTCCCCTGTACACTAGTCAAGAAAGTACCATGACAGATGTGTCTCCATGTGCATTGCAGGCCTTTCTCTGTTGAGCCATCTATTGGAACTCTCAATGTGGGAGACACCACGCAACTGGAGGTAGAATTTGAGCCACAAACGGTGGGCAGTCACGCAGAAAAACTAATCGTCTGTTACGACACAGGTAGGTATTATTCTCCGTGGAAAGTTCTGTATGCCAAGACAGGTCAGAATGGAAACAAAAAGTCAAAAAGGAAATACTGATTCTCTCAGGTTAAGCCAAGAGTCATGAAGTAAGGAGCCAATGGATAAATGCCTCCCGTAGAAATGATGCTGAGTTGTGTATCAATCTGACCTCATTAAGTTCCTCCAGTTCTTGAAAGACTAGGGAATAGAGAGTTCAGGAAGGAATTTATACCCAGAAGTCATGCTGGGAGATTGAAGCAATCAGTGCATGGATAGATGGAAATTTGAAGGTTGTGGGAGTCCCATGGACTTCACATTTGTTGCTACAGTTGTCTGACATTATGAAATACAATCTCTTGTCACAGTGCCCTTGCATGTGAATACTAATCTGTGTAAGATCCTGACACCATACAACTTAGATGGCACATAAATACAGCACTGTGGCTATTGCCGCCTTGCTTTTTCTTAAGGGCCACGCACTGCATAATCATGACAACGACATAGTTTTTGCAGATGTTTAATTCATGGCCATGTAGATGGCATATACATAGTGCAAGTCTCCAGCGTTGGTTTTCAAATGAATATTTTAGCATTACCATTTATTATTTCATGATCTTCTCATTTTGTTCGTGCTTCCTTTCTGCCCATTCATCATGATTGACCCAGATTCTCTGCAGCCAAAAGGCATGATTGGAGAGGAGCAGAAAGGACCTCCAGGTCACAGTTGAGAGTCACTGGCTGTGTGGGTGGCTGCACATTTCCAACTCTTAACTTGTCAACTTGCCCTCACTCTCCATTATCCATCATAACAGAAACTCATACCCAGTGGCACAAACCTTTATGTCTTCCTTTCTAATGTCAGGCATAACTCACTGCAACTAGATCAGGTATAAAGGGGAATGTTTTGGCCCCTGTTCTTGTTACGGGAGCCAACGCAACATAGTTGCCTCTTGGGTGAGCTTTCAGATGCTTTCAATCCCAGGGGAAGAGATTGCCCACCTTTTCCTGCAGAGCAATCGGTGGATTTGAACTGCCTTTGGGCTGGCGGTGCAGCTCCCAACCCGGGCAGCTCTAGCCCCTAGAGCTCGCTTTGTAACCAGATGTTATTGCTCAGTTTTCTCTACTTTGGATTCCCAAGTGGTTTTGTGTGTTGGATTTTCATTAGCATTTGATCAAAAATATTTTAGAACTTTTTCTTCTTTGATTCATGTTTAACAATGTGTTACTTAATATCCAAACACTTGAGGATGTTCTAGTTATCTTTTTGTTGTTGGCTTTTAATTTTATTTTTTTATCAGTGACAGAGAACAAATTCTGTATGATACCAGACTTTGAAATTCGTTGAGGCTTACTTTAGAGCCCAGAATGCATTCCAGGTTGAAATCACTGGCACAAGTTCCACCATTATCAATTAAGTTAAATATGTTAATTTTCATGTTGTTGAATCTGTAACATCATTAATTTTTTTTATCTGTGTTTTACTAGTAATTAGGAGGTGGTATTAAAATCTGTAATTGTGACTGAATTTGTTGTTTCTCTTTATGGTGATTTTTGCTTTCTGTATTTTGTGACTGAGTTATTTACATACACTTTTAGGATTATTACCACTTTCTGTTAACTCTGTTATTATCATGAATCATCTTTTTTATTATTATTATACTAGTTTATTTACAGAATTCAAATACATTGTTTTCCACACCAGACCCTTCCAGTTTCCCTCACCCCTCATCAAATTGTACATCCCCAAAATTAGACTCCCCTCCACCTGCACATCCGCACCCCTCTACTTCCGCCCTCCCCCCTTGGATCCTCATACTCGTTCTACAATAATGGTTCTATATAATATTTGTCCTTGTGGGACTGAGTCAGTTCTCAGTTCACTTAGCATAATGCTTTCCAGTCCCTCCCAAGTTAGGTAATAATTGACAAAGTCATTGTTCCTGTGTGGTGAAGCATCTTTTTGTCTCTAGTAAGATTTCTGACATGAAAGTCTTATTTGGTCTCATATCTGCACGGTTCAGTACCTTTCTTTGGGTTTGTATGTACAGGGTGTATTTCAACCCTTCCTTTAATTTCAGCTTTTCTGTGACTTCCTATTTGAGGTGTATTGGTGTGTCACCTGGTGGTGGTTTTTTCAGATTTAATCTGGGGGAAAAATCAATCTTTTCATTTTACTATTCAATCCTTTTGTATTGAATGCTGTTAGAAATATATTTAACTCTCTTTTGTGACCATGAAGTAGTTGGTGCCTGTTACAGGAAAATTATAGCTCAATTTCAACACAAAAATTCTGGTATTCTTAGTGTCAGTGGTGGGTGGCATTGAAAAAAATGAGTGTAAGCTCAGCCAATGATACAGTGATTCTTTCATCTACATCTCTATATCTAGTTAATGTACGTTACCAATTTTTATTTATGTCAGCCTCCAAAACTATGTATTGAAAGAATGAACGTGTGGCTTTAGAATTATCTTTGAGCCACTGTAACACAAGATTTTATACCAGGAGCTTAAAAAATAATGAAGCATAGTCAATGCTTTGACCTTCACTAAAATAATTAATTGTTGGGAAATATATTGCATCATCTTGAAAATATTGCTTATTTGACCTTTAACGCAACCTCTTTAATATTTTAGGTTTACTTTAATACATTTAACATCATTATTATTCTAGGTGTTTATAATTTACAAATAAACACGTCTGTATTTTGGGGGGCATCTAGTAACAACACTTCATTTGATTGGATTGGAATCTAAATGTTTTTGAGACTAATAGACTTAGCTTGTTGAGGGAAGATTTCAAGGGTCATTAGACTTTACATTTGGAAAACAAAAGCCCTGAGCAGGAAAGGGGCCTGTCCAAGATCATATGACTAGTCGGTACCACAGTTGGAACCCAAGCTCCGACCCTCATCACTGGTGCTGCCCGATGCTTTTCCCATCATAGCGAATCGTCGCCTATTCTCTCCTATCATCACACAAGCGTCTTTACTCCCTTATTTTGGTGACATTGAAATGCTGTTGCATTCTCCAGGCGGCCGTCACTCTGGACTTTACTCTCCTACAAGTAGATGGAATACTACCTATCCTTTCCCGTGCGAGAAAATGGTGAATTGAGCCAGAGTGAATATTTGCATATTAAAGATTGACTCACACATAGAAAGTTTCCACACCTTGTAGTTGTAGTAACCTGAAGGCATTTTCTGAAGATTGCAGCCAGGGATAAGCTGTCTTGAAGTATTTTTTGCCTCATAGAAAATGACTGAAGGGCTGATAAGAATATGTTTTCATCTTTATTGTGGCTTATCAATGACCAAAGCCTGTAACCTTCCATTAGTGGAAACAGTAATAACTGCCTGGCGATTCATTAGGGCGCTCCCCCCCCCCCGTGTGTCCATGATCATTGGCTTGTCATTGAACTTTGCGCAGCTGTTTGAAGTGTGAATTGATTTGAGGAGAGACATTTTAATATGGGCTGTTGATGAAAGTCTTGCCTTCAAGCGTCTCTAAGACAGTGTTCCAGAAGGAGAAGCACTGATGCTCCCAAGCAGGAAGCAGTCAGTCACACACGGAGAGTTGTGTGTTTGTCCTTCAGCCACTGGATATGGTCTTGACTCAGTGCAGCCAAGCGGGAACTTTGTGGTTTTTTCCTTACAACCAGATTTTGAACTCATGTTCACCAATAAACCAACATCAGCATCAGATATTTTACTAACATCTTCCAGATCTAGAATTTTCTCTTCCCCTCCCCCTCCGCATTCCCCTGCAGATTTCCTTGTGTAGCAAAATCAAGTTTGTTTAAGCCATTGATTTTATGCCAGAAATGATTTGGTTGCCTTTTTATTAGCTGAGGAAGAACCAAAGTAACTTGATACGTGTTTAAGAACTCCTCTTTCCAGAATAGATTGAAAATACAGTTCTTGAAAGCTGTGTTCACAACAACAAAACAAAAAGAAACAACAAAGCAAAACAAAAACAGCAGCTAGCACGGTCATTCTGTCTTCTCAGTAAAACAGGAAAGCATTGCATAGAAATGACTGGGCCGTTTGTTAGGAGTGAAGATGGCTTACTGCTTACGGTTTTGCTTTTTAACAAGGCGGTGAGAAACCTTCTATACTCAGAGGGCTCAGGGGGCTGTTAGTATTCAGAACAGGCTTTTTAAAAAAAAGTTTTGTTTGAACCTTTCAATACTTGAACGAGCACGAGTAGCTGGAACACAGCAGAATTTTCTTTAATGCTCAGTGAGGTGATTGTCCCCAAAGAGGTGACATTAACCACTAGCATAATCAGGAAATAGAGCTGGTGCACTTACTCAGCATTTTAAAAAGTGTTCTGCCCCACGCTGAGGAGGAGATATTTCAGCTTAGGAGTCAGGAGTTGGCAAGCACGCTTTCTCTCCTGTGCGATGATAAACTACTACTAAATATATTAGCAGCCATAATATTTGTACTTCACAGGACAGCTTTACAGTCATTTATATATTTGACTTTACTAAATTTCCTGCAACCCTCAATTTCCCCCCTCCTAACAGCCAATAAAGGAATACCAAAGTATAATATAATAAGTAGTCTGGGGTGATGTATTTTTCTGTTGAAACTGTTAATTACCTTTGTGACTAGAGAGGAACCCTGGTGGTGTAGCATATAACGTTGTGGGCTATTAAAGGAGAAGCCGTGGTTTGAATCCACCTGCTGTTCTGCAGAAGAAAGACGGGCAGTCAGTCTCCTCCCCTCAGACTTACAGTCTCAGCCATCCAATGGCGGCCACCGAAAGTGGGAGTCAGCTCAGCGGCCATGGCTACAAGATACACTGTTGACACCTCACTCACCATGAACCATGTTACAGTTGCCGATTACAATTATACACATAGACCATCATAAGTACTCTAAGGAAACTTTCTGACAGTGAACAATACAAATTTTTAAGCATTGTGGCACATCTGTTTAGTAAAACGTTTTCTGTTTCAGCTTTTTTAATATCTACCGTCCAGTTGTATTAATCACATTCACATGTCATCAGTGGTTAAGCACTCACCTGTTGACTGAAAGGTTGTCAGTTTGAATCCATCAGCTGTTGTGGGGAGAAGGCTGTAGCAGTCTGCTCTGTAAAGATTATAGTCTTGGATGCCCCTTGTGGCCATTCTGCTCTGTCCCGTAGGCTTGTGAGGAGTTGGAATCGACTTAGCATCAGTGAGTTTTGGGGCTTTAATTACATTCATCACATTGTACAACCATCACCACTGTCTGTTTCCAGGCTTTTCCATCATGCTTACCAGAAACTCAGGGCTGTAGAAGCAACAGAACCACTCCGTAATCTATTTTTCCCATTTGGATCCCGAGGAATTACAGAATTTATGACTCAACTGTTTGTTGAGGATTATTTAAGATTTGAATGATGTAAGGCATCAGTACCCTTCAATTTTTCCTACCATAATAAATCACATGAATATCTGATCAGAGTGGCCAATACCAGTCCATCTCAGCTCAGTGATACCTAGCACGTCGCCCTCCCTGTGTTCCACCTGATTTTTTACAATCCCAGTTTTCTGCTCTTAAATTTTGTACATTCCATGTTCCAGTTATTAATGAATATTTTCAGCTGTTTCTCCTCATCTTTTGAGTGTGTTCTACTCTGAATGGCTTCATTTACGGGACTCTGTCTAACAGTGCTCCTCTGTTGCTCATAGGTTTTTGAAAGGTCTGTTATTTCAAAAGTGAATGGCCAGTCCTGATTCTTAGTCTGTTTCAGTCTGCTGAAATCTGTCCACCGCGGGTGACCTTACTGGTGTTTGAAATACCGGTCACTTGGCTTCCAGCATCACAGCATCACACTGGAGGAGACCCCAGAACAGAAAACTGACAGACAGGTGCTGCACCCATAAGAACAAACTAGAAACGAACAGGTGTACACACATGTACGTGAACTATAGAACAAGCAGCATCCCAGCAACATGCAAGCCCCGCTCTCAGTGCATGCAAGTCCCCCCAGTACAGCGTAGTGACGTAAAAATGCTATACCATAAGTACAAGCCATAAAGCAGTGAAACAGATATAATAGAACAAATGTGCATGCTGTGGGGAATAGGAAACAGTGTGTATGCCAGCCCAGCAAAGACCAGAGTTGGGGTGCACAGTGAGTTCTGAAGCTCCAAGAAGTGAGCCTGGTCACAGGTCACCTCTTCTGTTCTAATGGGTGTTGGAGGTGTCTGCCCACCTTGGGGCAGAGTTCCTGCTGGTCTCAGAGGAGCCAAGGCCAGTCGCCTGGCTAGAGATGGTGACTTTGCCAGTCCAGGCGATGGGCACAGGCAGGGTATCAGTCAGAGATGATGTGCACAGAGATACAGTCACTGCTGGTCGGACATGATTTCCGTGAGGCTTCTGTAAATCACGCAGCAGATGAAGCTTCCAAAATCCTTCCCTACACCGCTGTGTAGACTAGACCCATGCTTCATAGGTTTTCCAGTGCTTTAGATATTGGAAGTAGCTTAGCTCCTCAAGTCTTTCTTCTGTGCCAGCTCCTCTGGTTGGATCTGAACGACCAACCCTCAGTAGCAGCCCAACACATAGACCATCTGTACCACCCAAGGACTTCTGCAGACTGTTAACCTAACCCCTGCCATCGGGTTGATTCCACCTCATGGTGACCATCAGGTTTCCAAGGCTGGGTGTATTTATGGGAAGAGACTGCCGTCTTTCTCCTGGAGAGCACCTGGTGGCTTTGAACTGTCAATATTTTGGTTAAGAGCCCAATGCCTAATGCACTATACCTCATCTCAGAACTCATCTCAGATCCTTATTAGATGTTGGTGTTTACAGACACAGTAAAGGACCTTGATTTCTTTCATTTTTTTGTTGTTGTGTACCATCGAGCGGGAATCAACGCATAGCTGACCCTCTAGCGGGTTTTCAGAGGCAGTTAATCGCGTGGGGGAAGATTGCCCCTCCTCCCGCAGAGCAGCTAGCTGGTGGATTTGAACCATGTGCCGTTGGGATTGTAGAGCAACTTCTTAACACTAGGCCACCAAGAGCTCCCTTTTCAGAGACGACTAAATTGAAGTTCTGTGGTGATGAATGACTTTAGACCTGAGTCCAGGCCTTTGGGACTCTTGGAGGCCAACACCCCTCACTGCCTTCCTTGTGGATTAAGAACTGGCTTTGGCATTGCTCTTGCACTGGCTGAGCTCAGGCAAGTTGCTTAATTTTTGTTTTCCAAACTCTGCAAAGAAAGATCCCTCAAGCCAGTTTGGTTCCACGTCCCCTGGAGTGTTTTATTTGACCCAACTGGGCCTGGAACAAGAAACTCACTTTCCATCAACTTGTTACTTCCCTGGAAAATTGATAGCTCTGCATGTGTATCTTATTGAGTGCCTTTCTCTATTATCTGCGAGTACTGAAACCACGCTATGAAATGGATTGTGGATGGGCTAGCTTCACTTTTACTATATGTAAAATTCGTTTTCTGTTTTTACTTGATTGATAGTAGTGAAACTGGCAAGAAGTAATAAGATCTTCCACAAAATAGATCTGTCTTCACTGGGACATAATAGATGGCTGTGGATAACTCCATTTCCAGTGAATGTCACTCTCAACCCCAGAAACTAGCAGGAGCAGGCACCCAAGGGCACAGAAACACTAACATCGGTCACAGCGCCCTTACCTGCTCCTGCAGCCATGGCCCCTTTCATCTGTCTTCGGGCTAGGCGGAGGGAAATTCCCTTTTTTGGCTTTAACAAGCAGAAACTCATCTTCTCCCAGTTTAGGCGGTTAGAAGATCAAAGGCAGGGTGTTGACTTACTGGAAAGACCTCTTTGTCAGCTCTGAAGGAATGGCCTTGTCTCCTTCGAGCATCTGGAGGCTCCATGTGAGTCTCGGCATCAACCTTCCCTGAGTATAGGAGGGTTTTCTCGGGGTCATGGATTCTCTGGGTAACATCTTTTGGGGGCTGTTTCTATGCATCTTTCATTTTCTTCATTTTTCTTTGCTCCAGATAATGAGAGACCAATAAACCATCTTGTTATGGCAACAATCACCTAAAAAAAAAGGGGGGGGGAGAATAAAATGTAAAACAAAAATAGCTTAAAACTGTGCTTCTGGAATAAATCATAAACTGGCTGCTTTGTCACTTCCTAGGTGAAAGGGTCTATGTTTCCTTGTACGGAGCTGCCATTGATATGAATATAAGGCTGGACAGAAATTCCTTGACTATTGAGAAAACCTTCATCTCTTTGGCCAGCCAGAGAATTGTCACCATTCACAACCGCAGTAACATCATCGCCCATTTCCAGTGGAAGATATTTGCTACCCAGGACGAGGAGGAGAGAGAAAAGCACAGGTTAGTAAGAGAAGTCACTTGTGTGCTGTGATGTTGCAGAATAGAACCAGTGGGGTTTGTATCAAGTTTCTAAGCAACTCAAACAAGATCAGATTTTCATAGCTTGGCTTCAGTGTCCAATCCTCACTTGGAGCTGCTCTTCCAAAGCCCCTGAGCTTATCTGTATGGAACCATCTTCAGCTAACTTAATATTGGTGGAGCTCACCAATATTCAGCAGCTAATAAACTAGACTTTAAAGGCCAGCTTTGTTCACATCCCATTACTTTCCTGAAACTCATTTAAATGTAGGCATTTCTTTGCATGAACTTTACCCCTGTTGATCAGAGTTAATAAAGAGGGGAAAAAAGCAATTGAGCCTATTTTGGATTTTAGACCAGTGTGGAAAATGGTTTTGTTTGTTGGTAGTTTTTAGGGAAAGGCTATTTCCAGAAAATAAGGACAGTGAGGAAAAAGAAAGGCTTTAGTGTGACAGCTTTTATAATCTCAATTTTAGTAACGCTTCTCCATGCCAGCACACCACATAATTTAATAAGGATTTTTTGTTGGTATCTTTAATCTTTCTGCTTTTTGAAGTCATACTTCAGGCACTGTAGAAAATTAATAAAATGTAAAACCAGACTGTTTTAACTAATCTCATCACTGTTAAATGGTGAATGGTCCTTTTTGCTGGGCCCACCCCTGCCTTTAGTTCCATTTTTATCTCCTTCCAGCCTCCTTCAATTTGCACTTTGAATGCTTTCAGTGGAATCTCTTTCAGGTTTGTTTTTTTTCTTTCTTTTCCCCTTTTTCATTTTCATTAAAGATTAGTACTGCACAGCTTCAAAGCTTTGTTTAAAACCGAGGAGTTAGTAAGTGATAAAAATAAATGCTCCCAGGTCCATGGAAACCAGGCAAAGATCTCCCAGGGCGCTGTCCTGATTGAATCGGAGGGAGCCTGGACAATGGCAGGACACAGTGGGCCAAGAAGCCTTGTCCTTCAGACAATGAGCTTTAATCACCAGATTACCACTGTGTCATCTTTAAACAGTGAGGAAAGAAAACCCTTTCTTGACTGAAAACTTCATTTTTGCCTCAAAGGCAAGAGGGAACAGCTCATCCCCAGCTTGGTTCATCCTGATTCCCGAGCTGACATGTGCTCGCTCCAGCCATCAGTGTCCAGACATAAACTAGGGCAACAGGTACAAATAAAGGACAGCAACAGAGAAGGTGGTGTTTTGCTGTCACATGTTCTGCAGAGAAAGACACATGTGAATAAAAGATTGTTGATGGTAGGCACCAGTGAGTTGACTTTATCGCCTATCAACCCTGTAAATAAATAACAGATAGAAACCTTGCCTTTTCCTCCACCATCTACACACGCCAACAGGCTTGAGTCCATGGTTGTGGTCACTATGTCCATCCATCTCCTTCTAGGGGCTTCCCCCCCCCCCTTTTACCTTTCCCCGTATGATTTCTTTTCCCAAGGACTGACCTCTCCTGACAACATGGCCAACGATGTGATATGATGAACTTTCACCATCCTGGCCTCCAAGTAGCACCCCGGTTGGACCTTGATTCTTCATTGATCTTTCTTATTCATTCCTGTGGAGCAATTGAAAACACCCTGCCTTGCATCAAGTGCACCTTAATCTCTAAACTGACATCCTTTCTAATAGACCAGTGGAAGAGAATTGAGAACCCAGAAATAGACCCAGCTATCTGTGGTCAACTGATATTTGACAAGGAAATCAAAGCTATCAAAAATGGTGGGAATCTTTGTTTTCTTGATATTGAGCCTCAATCCATATTGAAGGCTGCAGTCCTTGACCTTCCGCAGCAGGCTCTTTAGGTCCTCCTCAGTCTCCGCAAGCAGGGTTGTGTCATCTGCATAATGCAGATTATTGATGGATCTTCCTCCAATCCTGATGCCACATTTCTCCTCATAGAGCCCAGCCTCCCGGATAATCTGTTCTGCATATAGATTGAAAAGGTATAGGGATAGGCCACATCACTGGCATATACTCATCCCAGTTTTGAACCATGTTTCCTTGCTCTGTTTTGACGACTGCCTCTTGGTCCAAGTATAGGTTTCGCGTTAGCATGATCACATGTTCTGGGATTCTCATACCTTTTAGAGTTAGCTAAAGTTTGTTGTGATTCACACAAATGACTTTGCATAATTAATGAAACACAGATAGACATTCCTCTGGTACTCCCTGCTTTCAGCCAAGATCCATCTAACATTTACTGCAGTATCCCGAGTACCATGACCCCTTCTAAACTGAGCCTGCACTTCTGGCATTTTTCTACTGATGTGCTGTTTCAGTTGCTTTTGGATAATCTTCACCAGAATCTTGTTTGCATGTGATAGTACTGATAATTGTTCGATAGTTTCCACACTCTATTGGATCACCTTTCTTTGTAATGGGAACATATATAGATCTCTTCCAGTCATTTGGCCAAGTGGTTGTTTTAAGATATAAAATTAATCACACTGGAAAAAAAATCATATTGAACTATGCAAAAATAATGAATGGGAATGATTATATGAAGCACAATGTGAATTAAGAATAGTGTAAAACACAGGTTTTGTAAGCAAGCCAATATGAAATAAAAATCTTTTTAAAATAATAGGGACAAATAAGACAATTACTGTAAAAATAGAAGGATAGATAGTAAAGCATATATGGGAACCCAAGGCTGTAAGGGGTCAGAGCAGAGGTTTAAGGACGGGTAAGGGCGAAACCACAGCGTTGCACAGTTTGGTGGGTGGAAGGAGGGGGTGAAAGAAATGGGAAGAATCTAGCAGGGACCTGAAAAGATGGTAAAGGTGGGCAAGGTCCAATGGTGATTACTCTTGTAAAACAAAGCATGACAACTGTCATATGAAACACAATGTGAATGAAGAGTAGTGTGAAACACAATGTATATGAACTTTATAAGGAAACAAAGGTGTCATGTGCAAAACTGAAAAAAATTAGAAAAAACCCAAAAGAAACTCTTTAAGACATCTGGAAATGCTGTTAACCAGTCTTCCCTGATACCGTCTGGGTAGTAGTGCAGGGAAGGCTAATACCAGAGAGTTCAGATTGCAAAAAAGAAGTGACAGTTCAGACTCCTTCAAAGGAGCCCGGGTGGTGCAGTGGTTTAAGTGCTTGTCTGCTAGCTAGAGTCAGCAGTTTGAACCCACCATCCACACTCCATGAGACGCGAGATCTGGTGATGTGCTCTTCTGACTGTGACAGTGTAGGAAACCCTGTGGGCAGGGTGCTCTGTGCTGTTGGATGTCGGTGAGTCAGAAGTGACCTGACAGCATGTGAGAACCACCGCAGGATCCTCCTACTAGCCGTGTGAACCTGGACAAGTTGCCGAGACTCATTTTTCTCATATGTATGATCGAAATGATGATAACAAGAATGACCTTACATTGCACTTTTATGCTCATTAAATTACAAGATGCACACAAAAGTTTTGGCGTGGTTAACTGCCTTTGAGTCCTAGATGACTCATAGTGACCCTATGAACGAAAGACCTGAACACTTGTATAACTTTCATCATTTCTCCACGTTCATAGGGTTTCCGGAGGCAAGCTGTTTCGGAATTGGAAGGCACTCCTGCTTCCAAGCTTGTTTTAATCAGGGAGCTCCACAAAACACTGTCCACCATGGGTAACCATCATCACATTTGATATATCAGTATCACAGTGTTTAGCATCACAGTGACCACGAGTGACCTCTGTATGGCAAGTGGACAGACCAGTGCATTTAGAAGAATGTTTGACCAAAAACAAAACCAGGCCTGAGGACCGCAGACTAAAATCACCCACCTTTGGCTTGGTAGCATCACTTTCTGTCCACTAGGCCAACTGAGCTCTCTTAATGTTGTTGTTAAGTGTCGTCGAGGTGTAGATGACTACCCTGTAAATCTCATGCCTGTGATTTCCATTATTTGTTTTACCAGTCAGTCCCTCGATGTCTTCATCTCATTCCCCCACATTTTTGTTTGGTGCTGTTGCCAGCATGTAGACGAACAGCCTGTAGCTGTGTGTTTGTTTATATCCAAGACTGTTGCTTTAGAATTTATTCTCAGAAGTAAAGTTCAGGGTTGTTTTTTAATAAAGTATGCAGTGTTTTAAGTCTTCCAGGTATATATGAAATATAAAAATAAAAAAAGAAATTATTTCCTTTAAAGAAAAAAGAAAGCACAGACTGAGCCGCCTTTGCTTTCGCCTGCTCTGCCCAGCAGTAGAGCGAGCCTGTTGCTCTGGTTACCTCGCGCTCTTCTTTCTACCTGCCAATCAAAGGCAGCGCACCATGTTTCTTCATTGAAATCAGAACACATTGAAACTGTCTCTTCATTTTCTTTCTAAAAGGTGACGGGAGGACACTGGCCAGTAAACCTGCTAAAAAGTGTCCTTCGACAGTGTAGAGCACGCCCTCTGTATACCCACTGCCTCCTGTGACCCTCCATCAGATTTCCAATATGACTCTCTTCAGGAAGAGACTACCTGGAGTGGCTGGAGGATTTGAACCACACATCTTTCAGTTAGCACTGAACCAGCACGGCTCCTCGTAATTTGCATGGAATCATTTAAAACATATTCCATGGACTAATGAAAGAACAAACAGCTATGTCTTGAAGACAGGGCAGCCAGAATGCTCCTTGGAGGCAAAATGACAACACTTTACCTCACATACTTGGACTCTGTTGTTAGAAGGGTTTATTCCTTGGAGACAGACATCATGCTTAGAAATGTGGAGGGCTGGTGAAAGAGACAGAGTCCCTCCGGCAGATGGATTGACCCAGTGCCTGCAGCAGTGGGCTTAAGTATGTTGGAAATGGTGAGGATGGCACAGGGTAGGACAGGGTTCAGATCCCTTGTCCTTAGAGTTGCTATTCTTGACTCGATGGCACCTAACAGCAACATTTAAAACATACTTGGAGTTGGGATGGGAATAAATTAACTCTGAAATCCCACCTGGCATTCACATTGCTATACAATTTGTGCCTCGCTATTGGTTGTATCTGTGAAATGCAGCGTGAATGGTCTTGTGTCCTGGAAGGAGATAAAACCCAGTCTTCAGAGTTTGGCTGAGGAACAGGAACACAGCTTCGGTGAGAGGAATCAGGGCCTCAGAGGAGCTGCTTTCTCACTTACCGAGATGCAAATGAAGCAGGGAGCTGCCTGCAGGTTCACTGTGAGCATTTTATGAGCTTGACAGTTTGGTAATTGCTTATGGTTGACATGGGAGAAACCTGGTGTTTATTGAACACCCGCTGTGGCTCGGGAACAGCACCAGGTCCTTTATCACGTTTCATTCTCGAAACATCTCTGTGAGGGAGGAGCTCCGGCTATTTCTATTTTATAGGTGAAGGCACAGAGGCTTAGAGGAATTAGAAGACTCCCAAAGTTACCAAGTGAGTAAATAAGTAGTAGAATTATTTGCCAAATCTAGTCCTCAGTTAACAGCTGAGAAAGAATTCCATCTAAGCCGGTTTAAAAGGTACAAAATCCTTCATGGAACTGTGAGCAGCAGAGGAGATATTAATATTTTAAATACAGCCTAGAAAACACAATTGCCTAAAAGAACGTATTTGTCCGGGTGCTTGTAAGATCCCAGGAATAAACAAGTGGGTACTGAGTGGGTCGGGAAGCTAGAGGGGACCTTGAAGGAAGTAACAGGACGAGGGACAGACTCTGAGAGGTCAGAGTACAGGATGACCCCACTAGGATGTCACAGGCTCAGACCAAAGGATGTTATCTACCATCGAGTCAGAACTAACTCATGGCTGACCCTCCAGTGGGTTTTCAGAGGCACTTAATCACACAGGAGAAGACTGCCCATCTTTCTCCTGTGGAGCAGCTGATGGATTCCAATTGTGTGCCTTTAGGTTGGTAGCACAACTCCTTACACAGCTCCCTGTGCCAGCGTGATTGGTAACGGCATTTCTAGGGGGGCGAGCTGGGAAGCAGACCCCTTTGCAGAGCTTATCATGGGAGTACCAACACACGTCTCACATTGTCTTTAGGGTCTGTGATGATCTGACCAAAGAGGAAAAGGAGGAGACGGACGAGTTTCTGGAGGAGTGCATTCTTGAACCCTCCCTCCGAGAGCGGCTCTCCATCCTCTCGCGGGCCTTCCAGACGCAGAGGCAGCGGGTTCAGGAGGATGACGTGCTCTTCCTGAATGGCATTTTCACCCTGGAGCCCCTGGTAAGTACACATATCAAGTCCGGCCTTATCCTTTTGACTTCTTGTTGTGATGAACACAGGTAGCAGTATATGGTGTATCTCCGTGGGGCCTTCAGTGGCCTGTTTATACAAGTAATGATTTCCGGAAGCCCAAAGACTCTCTGTTAAGAGTCTCCCCATCGCCATGAGCGACGAGGGAAGGTCAGTGGTGATAATGCTTACAGGTCACATTTGGAGAGCAGTCTCCGTGTGTGAAGTGAGAAATTTGATAGCTGGCTCAAGGTCAGTCTAAATTCTCCCTCTGGAGCAGAATTTCTCTAACTCAGCACTGTTGACATTCAGGGCTGAATGGTGTTCTTTGTTTCAGGACTGACCTGGGAATTATAAGACCTTTACTATCATTCCTGACCTCTATCTGCAAGATGCTAGCTGTCACCACCAAAAATGTCTTCAGACCACGCCAGATGTCCCCTGGTGGGCAGACCCGCCTGGTTTGAGAACTTGTTGGTCCTTCATTCGCTCAATAAGTACTTACTCACTGTGTGTTCTGTAGCAGATACTGTGTGTCTCCCAGGCATCAGTGGGCAGAGCATACGTGGTCTTTGCCCTTGTCCTCATGCCTGGCTCGTGAGAACTGAGTCAGAATTAGAACTGATTCCATAGACCAGATTCTTAACCAACTTCTCCGCCACTGTGGCAAAGCGGCGGTAGCTAGCATCTTCTGTGTTGGTGGCGTGCTCGGCGTGGTTAAGAGCTCTGTGTGCTGCCCTCCTGCTTAGCCAGCTTAGCTGAGGAGGCAAACTGACCGGAGTTGAGAAAGCCCGTGTCTAGATAGAGCTGCTGGCTTGTTGACCTGCTGCAGGGTCATCTATGAGTTAGTCCGATGGTACACATCAACAACAAATAATTTGCTTCTATTCTTTTTAAAGCTGGTCTTCTAAATTGTTACTGAACGCTTCTATGTGGGAATGGGGTGTTATGGCTAAATGAGCCTGAGAAGCAGTAGGTTAAATATTATTTGAAAAATGTCCTCATCATAAGAATTGCGAAAGTCTAAAATGCTAATATGCACTGTAAGTCTCCGAGGGTGCATCCCCCAGATGGACTTGTCATGCATCCTTTTGTCCTGAACACCCCCTGGGACTCCGGCTTTGTGGGAACTGCTGTGTCAAGTGCTGGTGAAGAAAAGCAGTAGTTGAAAGTCTGTTGTGATTGCTATCATAGACAAGACATTTTAGAGAGGGTGCCTTAAGAAGAGAGCCTGAACTGAACCTGACAGGACTTTTGGAGAAGAGCATGGGAGATGGATTCCTCTGGACTCATCCTTGATTTTGTGAATAGCCAGCTTGCAGTAAGCAAAGCTCTCAGAGTGGGGACGTAGCGTGAGGGTGACTCTGCTACAAGATTGTCAGGTAAGCACAGTGGTCTTCAGACACGGCGAGTTAGACCAGCACGAGTTTGAATGCATTGTAGACGTCAGCCTTGAAAGGACAGGACAAGTTCTGAATGTGAAAGTACGTCCATTCCAGAGTGGTGCAAAGGGAAGGAGGGAATTATGGACCTGGGCAGACAAGTGTCCAGACCCCGGGAGCTGGGCTGGGCCAGGGAAGCGCAAGCAGACACGGTAATCTCTGAGGCACTGGCAAGGTCCACGGTGTACTCTAGAAGTCCACTTGTTGATTGCTTTTTCTGTTCCTCCTTGCCTTCTGGGAGTGGATGGTTCTAACATCACAGACATGGTGGTCACGAGGAGGTAAGAAGCCCTCAGATGAGTCCTGACTTTTCTAAAACAGAATTAGGTAACGAAGGTTACCTCCAGTCCCCTTCACCTCATGCTTGCTTTGAAGGGTCACATTCGATGAGGTAGAAAGGAAAGATGAAAGCATTTCCATTTGGGGAAATTGTGGCAACAAAGGAAAGAGAAACAATTGTTGTTAGGTCATATTAACTAGCAGTAAGTAGGGTAATATTTAATATGTAACACTCCCTAGGTTTTCTGGAGCAAAGGCCAAGGGGGGAAAGGAAAACTAAGGTTGAGAAATTTTGCGTTGCCATTGCTAACAAGGGAGCTCTGGTAGCCTAGGGGTAAGGAATTGCACTGCCAGCCTGAAGGCATGCTGTTCAGTCTGTGGAAGAAAGACGGGCAGTCACCCCCGGTGTGATTTACAGCCTCTGAAAACCTGCTGCAGCGTCAGCTGTGAGTCAGTTCCAACTCTATGGCACAAGGCACCATGCTAGCATGTAGCCCTGTAGCCTGCAGACTGTTGTTCATCACGCTGTGGTACGGAAGACACGTGAGGCTAGTGTACGTGCCCCTTACAAAAAAAAAAGGGCTGTGTGACCAAATAAAAGATGTATTCTCCAAGTGGTAGGAGGCAAGCATCATTTCCCATGAACCCTTACTCCTGCTGTTGTACCCCAGACTTGATATTCTGTACATCATAGTTTCGTAAATACTGAGGATATCAGAGCTCCAAGCAGGGATTGAAGCAGAAGCATGATGCATTTAAGGTGCTTTATAAAGATTATCCTTGGAAACTATGGCATGGAAGAGGGTGGACCACAGATGATGGTTCAAGTAGGCAGGAGAGAGGGAGAAGGGTGGGAAGAGAAAGAGAGAGAGATAATTCACAAAGGAGTGCTAGGAAAATCAGGAAAGAAGTGCATCAGGGATGCATCCTGTCCCATACCTTTTCAATCTGTATGCAGAACAGATCATTCAGGAAGCTGGGCTTTATGAGGAGGAATGTGGCATCAGGATTGGAGGAAAATTCAACAACCTATGTTATGCAGATAACAAAACCTTGCTGAGACTGAGGATATCTTGAAGTGCTTGCTGGAGAAGGTCAAGGACTGTAGTCTTTAATATGGATTGTAGTTCAACATCAAGAAGACAAAGTTTTTTTTAATTAAAAAAAGAAGAAGAAGAAAAAGAGTCGCACCACTAGGCCAATTAGCAGCACCATGACAGATGGAGAAGAGATTGAGGTTGTTAACAATTACACCTTACTTGGCTCCGCAATCCACTCTCTTGGCACCAGTAGTCAGAAAATCCAAAGATGAACTGCACTGGGAAAATCTGCTGTCAGAGACCTCTTCAGAATACTGAGAAGCAACAATGTTAGTCTAGAAACCAAGGTGCACCTAATCCATGCCACGTTCCTCGAAATTACTTGTTGTGCTTCAGAGAGCTGGACAATGACTAAAGATGACAGAAGAAGAATTGATGCCTTTGAGTTGTGGTGCTGGAGAAGAGTCTTGAACAGCCATGGACTGCCAAAAAAACCCAAAAAAACAAACAAACAAAAAAAACCCAACACCAACTCCAAAAAACCAAAACCAATTAGGTCTGTCTTGGAAAGAGTGAAACCAAGTTTCTCCTTGGAGGCTAGAATTTTGATGCTCCATCTCACATGGTTTGGGCACATGGGCAGGAGGGATTTGTCTTTGGAGAAGGGTATCATGCTAGGAAAGGTGGAAGGACAGCACAGGAGAGGAAGAGCCCAGATAAGATGGATTGATACTGTGGCAAAGGAGTAGGTGTGTCCGAGTCAGTGAGACTGGTTCAGGACAAGGCAGCCTTTAGAGCTGTTGTACATAGAGTCACTATATGTCGCAGGTGACTTGACAGCACATAACATTACACACACACACACACACACACACACACACACACACACGGTGTATGAAGCATCAGGGAGACCAGACATTTTTGTGGACAAGTTCAGGATGATGAGGACCTGAAATAGCTCAGAATGACCAGAAAGCAAAGACGAGCATGAGCAACACTAAGGTTCTTTTATCTTCACCACTGGACCGATAGGCAACATCATGGTAGATGGAGAAAAGATAGAAACCATCATTGACTGCAACTGCATCTTACTGGGATCTACAGTCAGTACACTTTGTACGTACAGTCAGGAGATCAGAAGACGCACTGCACTGGAAGTCTGCAGTCAGAAACCTCTCCAAATTCCTGAGGAGCAGTTACGTTAGTTTGAGGACTAAAGTGTGCCTGATTCAGGCCATGATCTTTTCAGTCACTTGCTATGCATTTGAGAGCTGAACAGTGAATAAGGATGACAGGAAAAAAAATGCATACAGATAAGGGAGAGAATGATATAAAAGGAATATATGATTAGGTATTATTGACATGACAAGAGTTCAGAATAAGAGTGGTATAGTAAAGTGGTCAAGGGTAGGGGGGAGACTGTTTAACGATGAAAAAACTTTTTTTCCCAAGAAAAAAGAGAACTTGAGTGTGGGGAGGTAGTGAAGGCAAGGAAGAAAATGTGCAACATTGAATGAATGGAAATCCAAGTTCTTTATATAAACTTTTATTAAAATATCAATTAAAAAAATGTAAGTTTCTATTGTTCTGGATGGACCTTGACTATACAGAATTGTGACATTCTCGTTCTGTTATTTCCTCTGCTGAGGTCTCTCTTGGATTCCCAAGTGAGAGAGGTTCTGAGACTAGAAATCACAGTTTTAAAAGTGGAGGGGCCGAAGACTCACAGAGCAGACAGACAAGGAGCTTTCGATTTCCACAGGCATCCAGGCGTCCTCAGAGAAATCCCGGCAGGGTGTGTGGCCTGGCTTCAGAACTCTGTTTCTGCTGCCATAGGTCACACATTTAAAATGCAGGAATTTGCTGACGGTTCAACACTGGGTATTTTCTCTGGCTCTTGGGTTATCAGCTGACATCAGTGTCATGGAAGACATTCCTGCTCCTGGTAGCAGATGACTCCCTAAATCCAAGAAAACATAATGCAGTCTTCCTAGAGAAGCTTAAGGTTACTCTGACCAAGGCTTATAAAGGGAGAGGAACATGATCACTTCTTTATTGTCATGTAAGTAATCACAAACCGGGCTCTGTCATCACCTACACCTGCATAAAACATGCCGCCCCAGCAAGTGAGACCTCGAGGACGAGGCTCAAATTCCGTTTACTTTCTTTTTTCTCAAATCGGCGTCGCCTGTGAGCTCAGCAGAACCGGTTGGTTGGAAGCCCAGCTGGC